ACGGCCCTGTCGTTTCCAGGGCCCACTTAAGGCCCCGCCTGGGCGGGGAACACCGACGTGACGTCTGTGTCCGCCCCGCCGCCTCGAATGAGCTCGCGGCGGCCGGCTTTGCGGCCGCTCTCTTAAGATTGGCACCCCGAGAGGCCGGCCTCGGGCCCTGCAGCCGCCAACGCCAGGAGAGAAAAAAGCACACAGACACAATTAATCGGCGATTCCCAGAAAATATGGGAAACTATGGGAAGTGGGGGGGAAGACAAAAACCCATAAAACATGGGAAATTCTTTACGCTTCGCGTATCCCCACCAGCCCATCTCAAAGCAGCAACTCTTGCGAAGCATGCCGACAGTCGTGTTTTTCAGGCGTGTGTCCGCTTGCCCCCGCATATCTCCCCTGTTCCTCCTTCCTCCCGCCTCCTTGTACATCCTCCTTGTGGTGGGAGCGGGAGAAGGACGAGGCGGAGGAGGAGGGAGAGAAAGCGGTGGGAGGCAAGAGGGATTTAGCGGAGACGACGACCACAGCGATGATCCTAACAACGACGACGCACCCGACGACGACGACGACGATATCGACCGCAACGACGACGACGACCACAACCGCGACGACGACGACGACGACGACGACGAGTCGACGACGACGACGACGAAGGCGGCGGCCCCAGGGGCCTCTTGGCGGCCCCAGGGGCTTGTAGGAGCGTCCTGGGTGCCTTGGGGGAGCCTCTTCGGGCCTCTTGGGAGCCTCTTTGAGGCCGTTTGGGGCGTCTTGGGGGCCTCTTGGCGGCTCCAGGGGCTTCCAGGAGCGTCTTGGGTGCCTCGGGGGAGCCTCTTGGGGCCTCTTGGGGGCCTCTTGGGGGCATCTTGGGGGCCTCTTGGAGGCCTCTTGGGGCCTCTTGGGGCTCTTTGAGAGGGGTCTGGGAGGACTCTTGGGGCCATCTGTCGGGCGATCGATCACAGATGGGGCGAGCATTTTTCTCCCTCCCCCCGTCGGGGCCAGAATCCTCGTGAGGGGTGTCGAATTTTAGCCCTCCCAGGAGTCGAAAAAGACCCCTCCAACGACCCGCGAAACGCCCTCTCCAGGCCCAGGGGGAGGGGGTAGGGGGAGGGGTAAACCCCTCCCCGAAAGGGAAGAAGGGGGTTGAGAACAGAGCGGGCTCTCTAAACCACTCACGCCCAAAGGGCTGGTGGGACTATGGGGGATATTTTCATTTGTGTGTATTTATTTGTGTGTCCCAGTTCCCCTTCACAACGCCAGGAGGGATGAATGTATACAAATCCACACTGTGCGTTTCTAATTCTTCGGAAGTTCTTTGATTTTTTGGGGGCCACGATCCTTTCATTTCTAATTGTTCTATCCTGGGCCTCTTCCTGGCCAGTGGGGGGCCAGGAAGAATTAGAGACGAACGCAATTGAAAATGAGCACGGTTAGGAATGAGCGACGTGTACGCACAAGCGCTCACTTTCAGTGAAGTATTGGGAAGCACGGGGGCCCTGCAAACGTACAAGGGACCCTGGCGCCTGCGTAGGTCTATGCGTGCCTCACTGGGCCCCTTGACAGCAGAAGGGAGTCGAGAGGTCGGGGGGGGGGGGTCCGCGCTTCGAGCGGGTGCGCGGCGCTGGAGGCTGTGGGCCCTGCGGCTCGCCGCGGGAGGCGAGGGCCTCCGCGACGCCAGAGGGCTGGTGGCCGGATCCTTGCTCGCCGCCTTCCTTCGGGAGCCTTGAGACGGGGGTCAATAAAACGACGCGAAGATCGGGACAAAATCGGATCGGAATAGCTCGAAATCTCTGAGAATCGGCGGGTTTGAAGGATGTATTGGGCGCCGCGGCCGCTCCAGAGCGTTCCGGAACGCTCTGAGAGCGCTCCGGAACGCTCTGGAGCGATTTACCCCGATCCCAGCCCTGTTTTACAAACAGGGGTCAGCCAGAGCGCCGGGTCTTGCAGGATCCTGCAGGGCCAGGGTCGCACTGACCCAGGTTTGGGTGCAGGATCCTGCAGGATCTTACAGGATCCTTCGCATGGACCCGGGTTTGGGTGCAGGATCTTGCAGGATCTTGCCGGATTCTGCAAGGCCTGACTGACCCGGGTCTGGATTGACCCGGGTCAGAAGATCCCCGATTCCTTAGATTCTGTTTCTTGGTCTGGTGCATTGTAGATGCATGGCTGATGCGGTGCGATCCTTCGACCCCGTCTACTCCGACCACGTCTAGGAGGCCTCTATTGGAGTGGGTGGATGAGGTGGGATTGGGACGGGAACGCGCGTTGCATCATGAGTGGTGTTCCTCCTGCTCCTTGCGCAACCCTCTCTCTCTCCTTCCCTTTCTCCAAACCTCCCTTCCCTCCCCCTCCTTCCGCCACCCGCCCTTCCTCCCTCCTCTCCCCCCTCGTCGCCTCCCTCACCCCTCACCCCTTCATCCTCTTTCCGTCACCCGCTCCCTCTCCCGCCCTCAGCCCTCGGCAACCCCTAACGAGCTGCGAACGTATCCACATCCACGCCTCCTCGGTCTGGATTGCAGGGCGCGATGCCGCGGATATGCGGTCGCACGATGACGTCTCGCGCAGGGCATCCGCGAACGAAAACGACCCGTATCCGCAGAGTCGCAGCTCAAGGGCCCGGCCCGCGAGGCCGTGGATACGTACACCTTAGGCGATGCTTAAGAAAACCTAAGTTTTCGGCCAGAGTCTCGATTATTCTTAATGTTTCAATGTAAATCCTAAGATTTGAATGGGCATTCTGGGTTTTTATTTAAATTCTGAGACTATCAATTTCTTAACCCATGATTTCTAAAGCATTTCGCAGGGTGTATGTGTTTTTCGCCCACAGCCGCACCCCTGCCCCTCTTCCCCCCGGCGCAGTTCTACCAGCAGTGCGGCTTCCGCCCGCGCCCCGCGGGCGACGCTGAGCAGGACGAGGAGCGCGCCTCTTCTGCCCCCCCGTCCGCCCGGCGGGTCAGGGCCGTGCTGGCTGCTCCAACCATCGGATTACCATGTTTTTGTTGAGAGGTCTTGGCGTTACTTCCACCAGGCCCATCCCACCTGCGCTTCTGCCCCTCTGGGGATTCTTCGCCAGAGCACACCAGCCACAATATTATTATGCCATACGCATATGTGTGTATAGATACGCATATTGTGGTGCAGACGCATATGGTGTTTAACTATCTAGGCAGGTGTACACATGTATGCTTGTCTGTACACGCAAAACTATGTGTGTAAGCGTTTGCATGTGCATGTGTATGTGTCTATGCACATCCAAATGTGTGTATACTATATATGTAGATGTATATATATATGTATATACATGCACCCCTATGTGCATGTATATGGATATGTATGTGTACACATACATGTACAAACATGAATGCGCATGTCCTTTCACACGTAGATATGTGTATGCATATGCATATGTAAACATGTATTTGCAATTGCATTTGCATATATAAGTGCCTATGCATATTACTATGCATAGCTGTATGCGCAGGTGTATGCATATGTATGGGTAAAGTCAGGTGTAAGCGCGTGTGCGTACACAATATATGTACATGCGTATGTGTATGCACATGCACGTGAACGTGTAACTTTTTAGGTATACGCTAAGGCATATGCATACGTATGTGGTTGTGTATGCGCATGTCCATTCGTATATGTAGGTGTAGGCGTATATTTATATATATATATATATATACGTGTATGTATGCATGTATAGGTATGTGTAAATGTGAATGTGCATGTACGTATGCATGTGCATGCATATGTATGCGTACATGTGTATGCATATGCATGTGTAACTGTACGGGCACGTACATGTGTATGTATGCGTGTGTGTATATATGTGTGTATATGAATTTGCACATGTCTAGGCTACTATGTGTATATGTATTTGTGTGCACATGTACAAACATATATGTTTAATCGTACATGGGTGTATGTTTAAACACATTCACATGTGTGTCTGTATACATATATATATATGCTCGCCCCCCCTCCTATGATCTACCTTATGTCTTTTTTGTAACACAAAGGAGCACAGTGAATCAGCGAGACCACTTCGAAATCATACCTCGCGCAGCATATGACTTGGTCTGATGCGGGAAAGGAGCATCGCTCGCAAATGACATAAACAATTAATAAAGACCCTTGAGCATTTCACCAGTGCAAGCCCACAAATCCGCACCTTTGTTCCAGTATGTCCACTGGGCGGAACGAATGCGGCGCGTTGCGGCAAGGGTGGCAACCCTGTGCGTGCGCGATTGCAAATGCTTCCGCAGATGCGACCAGAATCGATCGATGATCTGCGTTCCCGACTTAGTGTATATCTGCTCGCCAGTCGGCAATCTGTGGGCCACAACCTCAGAGTATTTCGGCTTGATCCAACGTGTCACCCCTCGCAGAGTAACCTTCTTCTTCATGTGGACAACATTGTCGTGCAGAACCTTCGGGATCTTGAGCTTGTACGCTTTCGCCCCGTCTGTGTGCAGCACGACCTCTCGGTTCTCAAGGTGTCGCTTGGCAATAGGCTTCCAGTCGCGTTTGCGGATTGGGCCAGGCCCTGGAGCACGCCGCTTCGTCGTGCATCATTCACTGAGCAAGGCCCACCAACGTCCGGCCACTTGTCGAAGCGCCGAACTTGATGCTCTTTTCCTTCTTCTTTACATACTTCATCCTGGCGCTGTCAAGGGGAGTGTAGACATTCGTCGTGCATGGATCAAGACGCGTCAGGACCAAAGTGTTCGGCCTGCCCCGCTCGACTAATCCTCCCCATTGTTCCCATTGCACTGGCTTGTCCTGGTCATCCTTCTCCGCATCATCCCTCTTGCCCAGGTCCACCTCGTCCGCCTCCACGTCCGGCCACTTGTCGATAGCGCCGAACTTGATGCTCTTTTCCTTCTTCTTTACATACTTCATCCTGGCGCTGTCAAGGCGAGTGTAGACATTCTCGATGAGCTTGTGGCTATTACCAGTTATCTGGTGGCACTTGCTCTGTGCCACATCCCAGGTCGCACACATGCAGACAGCTACCTTGTCCGCGAATGGCGCTGATGCGTTGCCCCGGCCATGTGAAAACACAGGATGGTCGTGATGGGGCAGCACAAACTTCTGGCACCTTTTGCTCCTGCATCGGTAGCTCGCGCTCCTGCCTGGAAAATTCTTCAATGGGCCCAACTCCCCCTCCCCGCACCAGGGGCAGATCTCGCCGCGCCAATCGCGAAGATGGCCGCTCGCGGTGAGCTTCTTCACTAGGCCCATCGCAGTGGCGGTGTACACGGTCTTCAGGGAACATTGGATTGCAATCCGTTCTGGGCGAGATTTAATAGTCTTTTGCCCGTGTCGAACGTAAGGCACGTATGGGGTCTTGTGTTTCGCAGCTGGCCTTTTTGCGATCTTCCTGACCATGCGCGCCTTCCCACGCTTAGGCACGCAAGACTGAAAGGCACTGGGCCTCTTCGTGCACGGCCGAGTGGACCCAGCAACCAAATCCAAAACATCAGCCTCGATACTAACTTTGCCGTCATCTCCGTCAGCCACTCGGAGCAGGCGAACGTGGCGTCGGCCATCGTCCCAATGAGTAACCAAGTCGTATAGAGCCTCGTCACCCATTTGCATGACGACTTCCTGACGCGAGTCGTAAACCAACATCATCGGCGACCCCTCGCGGGCACGAAGACCAATTGCATGTCCACGAGTTCCGGGTGTGCCGATATGCAGGACAAAATTATCCATGGGATCCGCGCAAATCAAGTCGCTCAGCAGTACCTCGGAGAACTTGAGAGGGGGGTAGAGCTTCTGCAATTGTCGGTAAGAGTACGGGCCGCTAGCGAACCCTGCCTGGCTCGGCTCCCCCGCAACTAAGTCCATGTTTGTGAGAGCACTGATGACGCACATGTTCTCACCGTGGACAACCTCGAGCGCCTTGCCTTCCAACTTCTCGCACGCAGCCGCCAGGACGGAAGAGAAGTCGTCCTCGTGCGGCCGAGAAGAGGAACTGCTGCCTAGAATGCGGTCGCCTGGCTCGGGAGCGGCGCTCCTCCAAGGAATCGGCGCGCCGCTTAAATCCTTCAATTGCAGAGATATCCCGTGGCCGGCTTCGATCGCAGACACATGTGCGATGAAGTTCTCGTCGTGCACGTCGAGCCCCATGGGTCTGAAGTAAATACCGTCGTAGACTAAAGAGATCGGCACCGCACCTGCTTCTTCCAACAGGTGCTTCATGTCCATCAGGACACTGCACTCCAGTTCGCCGAGGAAGATGTGCAGCGAGCTGCAATCTGGTCGCGCCTTCGCGACCTCCTGGTAAAGAACGTCGTGCTCGAGAAGAAACCGAGAAGCATTGACTATTTCCGTCTGCAAACAGTCCAAGTGTGGGAGCCAGTCAGGCCGCTCCTGTGGATTTGGCGACTGCCGCCCGTAGGGGCTGGTTGCCGAAATCAGCAGCTTCTTCGCGACGGCCACCTCGACGTCGAAGTACTTAGACACAAAAGTCTTCCATCCGTCCCAGTTGCTGACAACGTTGCACAGAAGCGGGAACTCTGCTTCGACGTTGAGCTGATCGTGCTGCTTTAAGGCAACAACCAACAAGCTGAAAAACGCAACCTTCATGTCGAGTTCTAAAACGCCTCCTGGAATGCCGGCCAAGGCGGCGCGCCGAGCTTCCCTGGTAACTTTCTGGAGTGAAGGCCCCGCAGTATGAATTCGCCCAAATCCATATTTCATGTAGGTCCGAAGAAGACTCCTCAATGAGCGCTGTCCGCCGTCTGCAGCGACTTCCATGGATGCGGTTCCTCGTTTCTCCAATAAACGAGAATATCCTTGAATCTGGGCCTGCCGCCGGTCGACGCCAGAATCGACGTGGGCAACCAAGCCGTTGATGTCCACGACGTCCGCCACCGCGCACACAACGGAGCAGTTTGCCTGACGGAATTCCTGCTCTTCATCAGACAACAGGTAGTCTTTATCCTCAGGCCGAGCTCCCATGAGCCATCTTTCGCTGGGACTTGCCGTCGGCGCTGGGATGTCAAAAGACCGGGTAAGTTTCAACATCTTGTCAGTATCAACTGGAAATACTAATGCATAGAGCTGCTGCTTGCCGAAGAAATTGACATCGGTGTCCTTCTGGATCAAGTATTCGGCCAAAGGCCCACAGCTTTTTGCGAGCGTCACAAATTTTGTGAAAGCCGAACCTCTTGGAACATCGAGCAAACTGCATAGCTCTCTCGCGACTTTCCAGTCCCCAACCTGTCTGCCCCTGCCTTTTGCTAATTTGCGCTCCTCTCCATGCTTCTTCTTGTTCTCTTCCTGCCATAATTTTCTCAAGCAGCAAGCTAAGGCGTCCCACTCAGAATCGCTACCACCAGCTCGCTCGCCTGCGGCGCCAGGTGATATATCCATGACGCACTTGGGCCTTGGATCGCACTGCTGGTTGGTCAGACGCTGGATGTACCAGCGCGTGGACACCTTCATGTGCTCATCGAGATTATCTGGTTCGAGTGTGCTCACAATGGCCGACGTGTCCCCGAGTGCATCCCAAGTCGGCTGTAGAATCTCTCTGAAATACACGTGAGCTCCAGCAGGACACGCCAATATATTTCCCAAAATATCCGAAGCAATTTTCAAGAAGCGGCCGTTCTCGTGGTCGACGTCTTTACTGTCGATAACCAGCGTTGCAAGGCCCACGGCCGACGCCAAATAACGGCGGTCCACTGACTCCGTGGGGGACTTTCGGGGTGCTCCTTCTTCCCCGCGCACTTCAAGATCCTGCGCGGCAACGCTTCGGGGAATCGACATGATAGGAGAGACGTCGTCGTAATTGCAGCTCTGCTGCTTCTTCATTTTGTTGTAACGAACTTCGCTGGAGAATCCGAAGTTTGCCCTGGCGATCATCTCCTCGCCCGAAATGAAGCGTTTGAGCACGTCCACGTTGATCC